CTGTTAATGTTCTGTTACAGGCCTGGAATGATACAAATAAAAGAGACAATTTTTGCCACTAAATTAAAGCACTAGTGAAGAATCTGGCGGGGGAGATAATAAGTTTCTTAATTCTAGACAGGGACTTTCTTACACTTTCTAATAGGGAATGCTGACGAAATCTGCAGTCCTTTTATGTGTTTTCTAAATGCTCAAGCAGTAACCTTTCAGGCAGCATGTCAAAACTGAATATGAACTATGCAGGAGGGTGAGGGGAACATCCATTTTCAGTATCTAAAATTGTTTATTATCTATTTTATAGTCCTACATTTCTGAAACAACAAGAATATCATGAATATAGCACAAGCCATGCTATGCTTTGTGAGACAACATTCGGTAGACATAATACATTGGCTAGGAATACCCCCAGGGATGATCCTGTGCAGGTTTGCTCCATCTCATCCCCAACTGGCAGTGTCCGTGCTACCTCGCTGGCTCATTATTGGGCCACTGCTGGCTATAGCCTGTTTCATAGGATATGCTAATTCATTTCCCCTTCCCCCCATACACACAAACCTCTTATATTATTGCCATACGCACTTCCCTTCTTTCCACTGCCATACTTGCACCTCATTCCTCTTGTCATCTCCTCTGTCATTAGTTGCAATCCAAGTTGCTGTCCACAGTGGAATTCCTAAATGTAGGAGGTTCCATTCACTCTGCATCATGGACACCTAGGTTGCCAGCTGACTGGGACGGGCACCTGTTATTAAAGCCAGCCCTGGATGTACTTCTACCCAAGGTCAAGCTGTACAGCAGGTGTGCAGGGAGATCTGTTTTGCATTGCTGTTATTTCCAATGTCAATTTACGGGATCAGCCTGATACTGAAAGACTTAGGGTTCAGATCAGGCAATAGAAAGCAATATTGAAAGCTGGATCATTTAAACAACTAATGGCAGCCTTGCATTGTAGATTCCCTGGTCCAGAGCAGTGACATCTCTATGTGAACTCTTTGGACTTCCCTTTCCCTTGAAGTTGTTGGTCCTTTTTGTAATATATAATTGGTGCCTCTGTCTGGCAGAGTCTGCCTTGGATGACCTGGACCTGAACGAATTCGGAGTGGCTGCCCTGGAGAAGACATTTGACAGCAGCTCGGTGCCCCACACGAGTGGCATCATGATAGGTACATGAAAGCAACAGAGCTTTCTTTGATCTTCTGCCAAGCAGGGTTTGCCCCGTCAGCTGGCTGAAGCAGCCTAGCAAGCTCTCAGAACCAGCTCTTACATGACATATTGGTTAACAGCCAATGGGAGACCTTAGAGCCAAAGGGCCCTCATTGGTTAGCAAATTGGAAAAATCTTTCACTGGTTTCTGATGTCCCAATCATGTTTACGAAATAGGCATGGCTTATTTTGCTTTTCAGTATCTTAACAGTGGCACACTAAACATGTTCACAAAATTCTGACTCAAGACTATGATAGAAGAGGAAAAAAAAATCTGTTTAAAATAATAGGAAACAAATTGGATTGGTATCACTGTTCTGCTGTCACAGGATCATGGCAAGGCATGTCGCCACACATTGACAAAGTACCGCTTGTGTATCTCATCCCTTGTATGTGGTCATTTCAAACCAGTGTCCTTTTTTTTTTTGCCCCATGTCTAGTTTTCAGGTGAATATAGTCCTTGCAAGCTGCTATATTCTAATTGTACATATCCCATTAGTAATTGACAAAGCTGTTGTTTGTGAACTGAAACTGTGTGCAAATTGGTAAGTGCCTGGCTCACTGCTGCCACTACACTGTTGGTCTTTTTAAGGCACATCCATTAGCTTAAACCACCTTGGTGTCAGATGTTATTCCATTGCAAAACAGTTTGCAACTGTCTTTCATCAACACACAGTTTTATTTCGGCATATCCTGTCCTTTAGTGTTGTTGCTTCAGATCTGAGTAGCTGTGCAAATTAGAATTAGCCTACCATATACCCAGTATGTGTTCAGGTTTGCTTTCGCAAAAACTGGTTCCAGCTTGAGGAGGTAGTATTCAGCATGAAACTGTTCAGCAGCAAAACCGTGCCCACGTTGACTTGGGCCAAGAGCAGTTTGGAAGTGAACATAGCAGAATATGGCCCCAATGCTGTTTTTTCCTTAGTGAACAATTAGGCTTTGTTCCCATAAACATAGCCATCCTCTTTATCCTCATATATATGAGTGAGAAATTGGTTCTTCGGATTGTCAGAAAACTTGGTTGTCACTGCAAGCCAGCTCAATATACCACGGCCTTCTAGACTTAAGCTAGAAGAACATGTTGGTTGATCTACAGTTGCAACTCTTTCCGGGTAAAAGGAGGATGAGAAGTCCTGTGCCACATAGGAGTCCCTTTAATTTTGAACTTTTCACAGGCACTGCTATGCATTTTCAAGTGTTATTAAATTTGAGGAAGAATTATTCTTGCAACACTAACAACTTTCATGGGCTAGTGAGTTTGATTCCTTTTCTGTGCCATGCAGCTGGGACTCCTCTATCCAAACAGGAAGGTGATTTCCCCTGCTCCCTTTCCTGTAGATCAAGCATAAATAATTGTTGTGCTGCCAGTTTAATTATCTCTTCTGCTAGAACATCTTATGAGTGTGTTTCTGCATGTAGAAATTAAGGTTGTTATTAGCTCCATTTCTTCTTTGGCACAGTGCCTGAATACTGAACTCTTCCCATTTGCTGTTTCTTAAGTGACAGCTAAGAACAAACTTTTATCCTTAATATGGGATGGGAGGTTCAGGTTTGGCATGATCTATAAAAAGTGGAAATGCCATTTAATCCAAATGACTGTCCTTGAAAAATGTACTCCTTAATCCATATGATTTGATGAATGCATATTTTCCTGCTCCTCTTAAAAGAACCATAAATTATACTTATATACGTATATATTATTATATATAACCATTATAATCATTACTAGATACTATAGTTGTCATAAAAAATGTAGTCTCTTGCACTAGCAAATAATGTGGATAGTACAAAACTAATTTAATTTAAACATGTATATAAATAGTGTCATTATGGAGCTACAAGAATTGAAAATCAGCTATCTAAATAACTGTTAGGTTGTAAGTTGTCCTTTGCGTACTGGAGAACTGCTGACTCTTAACTCTAACCCTAACCCTGGCTCCCAGTGTTTTGCATCTAACATTCAATACTTTACTTTTTAACCTTCCTTGGCCATAGGGACAATTCCCATAATACCAGTTCCGAAGGTGTAGAAGGGTGTAGACTAGAGGAATATTCTGGATTCACCCATCCTTTTACTGGTGCAGAGAGTGAAGCAAACACCTGCTGTTCAAATTCCTGTGCTGTGCTTCCACTCATAACTCATGGCTTCTACATTCCCATACTTTCTGTGTGTTCTTTGTCCAGGTGGGAGTTTGCTGCAAAGTTCTGCTCCTGTAAATATCCCTGGGTCCCTTGGAAGTTCTGCCTCCTTTCACTCTGCCTCTCCTTCTCCACCGGTCAGCTTATCATCGCATTTCCTCCATCAGTCCCAGGGACACTTAAGCCAATCAGAAAATACTTTCCTGGGGACATCAGCTTCTCATGGATCATTAGGTAAATGCCCAATGTAAGCATGGGAGTATATATGTTAACATGTTCACATAGCTGTCTATGCCATGTAAGTATTTTCCTTTTTTATTAGCTTTCATTTGAATGTTCACATTTTTGTGGCCATCTAACATAATGTATTGCCCAGTGTCTGTAAAATGAGAAAAGAATCACTAGACCTAAGGTCAGTTATAAGGGTTTAACTTTTAAAACAGGAGCATACTGCAGGCAAAGAATGAGTCAAAGAAATTGAGTACCTACGAAGACTAATAACGACGGAAAATTACAAATTGATCATGGGCTCAGAGGAAAGGCTGAGCCTTTGAACTCACATCTGATTTAGCCTGGATAGAGGTGACATCAGATTAGTAGTCTTGCAGCAAACTAAATTTCAGATGTCTAAGTAGACCCATCAAATAATCTGAAAATAAAAGTTTGGTAACTAGGTGAACGGCAATTCAGTTCCCATGAACTCCATAGTTCAATTCCCAGTAGAGGGTTTGAACTCCATAAGAAGATCTGTGGCTACATACATTTGAAGAGTCCCAAACAGGATGAAACTGGTTACTTACATGTATATTAACAATTTGTAGAAACTGGACAAATATGAACTGTCATTAGCTATTAGCTTTTAATTTACGTAGAATAAACTTGTCATACTGACACTGCTTTCACTTACAAATATGATTCCTATAAACAAGTATTCTGAGAGCACCTGAACAAAATATTTCTCTCTACATGTTAATTTTGAAGCAACATCTGCACTATTTTTTGTGTTAACCTTACATCAGTATGCTTAGAAGCATTCATTATTTGGTCAGATGTTCTAGCATTGAACTCTGGCATTGAAATCAGACCCTGGAGACACGTTTTATGCTTAAGGAAGGAAGTACTAATAATAGTGCATTTTGCAAATTTGAGCAATGTGCTGCTTCTATTTATGCTATATATACTATGTACACTAGACTGAGAAATTGAAGAAACATCCCAGAAAAAGACAGTGGCAAATCAGATCTTTTTGTTGCCAGGGAGACAACGCAGACATATCCATGTAATCACTAGGAGTTGAGCTTGATTTGATGGAAACTTTATCTTTTTAATTATATTTAACAGATCAGACTCAGATGTAGTCATGCTAAGAGCAGATTCATTGAAATCAACAAACCTCCAGGGAGTTGTGGATAACTTATCTTATTGGTTTCAGTTGGTCTACTAAATTCAGCTAGTGTTTTACATCTGCATTCAAACCAATATTTACTTAATGTTTGTATAGCATGAAGGTTTTTCTGTTCCGTAATAGGTAAGACATATGAATTAAAGATTAAGGACTGATTAAGAATTAAGGATTGATAAAGGAATAAGGCAGGAATGTTGTTTTTGTGGGGAGGGGGAGAGACCTTAAAATCAGTCATATGTTTTCACATGTTCTGTCATACATGTCTGTCCCATCTATGTAATCATCCACTTTGTACAAACTCATGCTCCATACATTGGAACTCTTCTCAGCTGATTTTAAGCACTGTATAATTTACACACTTTAGTAACTAGGAATGGCAGGACAGGCAAATTATAAGACGTGATTGCACAATAGACAGATGTACCCCCATTGGCCTTTTTTACAGACAGAAAGTATGAGATATGATTGAAGGTCTTAAACAAATATATCACACTGAAATCAGTACTCAAACATGCATTTCCCAGGCTTCCTTGTGAAGTAGTACAACTGCATTAATTTTGCTATAAGGGCTTTATTATACCCAGTTCAGAAAAACTATTCTCCCTGAAAGGAGTGCACATATTCACATATCTGTGCTCTGCTTGCATCACCTGTTATCACATACATACATACATACAGGGATCTCCAGCAATGAGCATATGAGCTATTCTTATTGCAATCCTGTACACTCTGATCTGGGGGTATGTCCTATTGAATATAGTAGAACTGACATCTAAGTTGACATGTATAGGATTGCACTGTAAAAGGCATCTGATGTAAGTGGCTACATAAGGCTAATGGACAGTGGAAAAGATGATTTTCAATGAGTAATTTTGCTCTAGAATGTTTGTTCCTGCCAAAAACATAAACAGCTTTCATGCTTACAAAAACAGTGTCAGCAGTAACATGATAGCAAATCAAGATTATGAATGACCTAAAATATGTAGAATTTTAAGAAATAAATTTTGTTGTAAGCATATTTCTTTATGCTTTGGGTTCTTCTTCTGCAATACTGTGTGCCCTGGATTTGGCAGTTCTGCTGTGGCCAATTTTATTTCAAGACTATAGCCATGCTTTTTATAGTGTAGCTTAAGCACTGCTGAAGAGCAATCTTAAATTGAAAGTAAATGGCAATTCAGTGTGAAGAAAGCATTCTTTTACGATACTTAGAGCAGTCATTACAAATATTGTCTACTCATTTGATTTACTGCATCTTTCCTTTTCTGAGCAAATGTTTGGTAAAAAGTAGATCCTTTATTAGAGGAAAGAGTCTCTGTTGTTCTGCATACTTTGTGGATCACCCTTATTTTCTAAAGCTAAACATTTCACTCATAACCTTCCATTTTTCTGCATGATCTCTGGCAGAAAGCAGAAGAGAATTAAATTATCTCCACCAGGTTTGGAATGGTGATATGCCGTGACTCAAATTGAGTAGATCCAAATGGCTACTTTATATAATTTTCAAGAATGAACCAATTTTGCCATCCAAATGTTCACTCAGCAGAGCAAGTTAGCCAATCCTTGCTCTCTGATAAGTGTCCCTATGTGATATTGGATTTTTACGGTCACACTTTAAATTTTTAGAAGAACACTATAAAATATAGTATGTAGTATATCTTATTCCCTTAATATCAGATTCTGTGCCTCATTCCAATACCTTACCTACAGGCATATTAGTCTGCTGTGATGAATAGATTTCTCAAATTAACATTTGAGGATCCAGCTGTGGGCACTAGACATTATTTTAAATTGGTTGATGCTGAATAACAATACAATGAAAATAGCATTACGGTTGTTTAACCTACTCTATTTTAATTATTACATGAAATATCCAGATGGACCTTTGGTCTGTTAACAATTGTGTAAATGAACTGAAAAGGAAGATATTGTGATATCGTGGATGTAATACTGAGAAGAGAGGGGGTTGAGTGTATTTTTAAATTAAATGGGTAGAGAAAAATTGGAGGAGTGCCATCACATATTCAAATCCAAATTTGCTAGAATTCTGGCTGCATCATGAACTAGCTGCATACTAATGCTTACTACTTTAGCTTGGCTTCTGCCTGCAGGAGCAGCTAAACAAACCCAGATTCTTCCATCTCTCATTTCTTTAATGTGTGAACCGAGGCCTCTTAATTTCTTTCCCAATAAGTCAGTTATAAACCATAGTTTGCTCTAGCTTATGATTCTGGCTTCTTTAGAGCTAAACAAACCAGAATTTTCAGTTGTCATTTAATGGATGGATCGCTATGTATTTCTTTAGCTGTTCCCACTAACAGGAGTAGCCAATCTGGAATGACCAAGTAACAAACAGCCAGGCAGGGTTTGGCCATGCCAGAATTCTAAAGATATCTGGCTTAATAAGGCATCAGATTTGGTCCTAAAGATATTAACAAATCAAGTATGAAATAATAGGTGACTGTTTCATTTTGTCCTTAAGCATCTGTGTGCTGATTGCTGTTCCCTGAAGCCTAAGCCTTTACGGAGAGTTTATGGTATATTCGTTCCTCGTGTGCTTTGTGTGAATCTGCACTGTGTAATGCATCCTCTGTCTATCTACACTGCATTTGTGGAATAAGTGTACTACAAAAGTGCTTCTGAGCATTGTTGGCACACGACTGCCACTGCCATTCTTTTTGCTAAGGCTGAAGTGGCAGACTGACAGTGCAAATACATGCATGTCCCTCACCATGGTTTTCAGATACAGCGTTGCCCCGTGAAAAATGGCAGCATTTTATTCTAGTTTTCTAAAATAGTTTGGGGCAAGAAAAAGAAATGTGAGATAACATGTTTTTCTTGTCTCTACATGAAACAGGTTTAAATGGAATGAACAGCAGCATATGGGAGCATTTTGCTTCAGGAAGTTTTTCACCCAGTACTTCACCTGCATTTCTGTCAGGTCCAGGTGCTGCTGAGCTGGCCAGGTTGCGGCAAGAATTAGATGAAGCTAACAGCACGATAAAACAGTGGGAAGATTCTTGGAAACAAGCCAAACAGGTAGTGTGGTTGGCAGGGGGTGTGTGTGGTTGGTTTTCTAAAGTACTGATGGCAGCCCTAGAGTAATGAGTAGTTTGGGATCCAAGGGAGTAGACACAAGCACAGCTGGTATATTTGGTTTTGTAATGTAACCTTCACCGATCTTTTTACACCTTGGATAAAGAAAAAGATTGATATCTTAGGCATGCAAAGGAGGAGATTTCAAGTTGTGATCATCCAAAACATTATTGAGTTCCTTTATGAGTATTAGCTTTTCTAATTTGTATTTGGACATATCTGCCTAAAGGTTTCATGCAGCTTGAGTTGTGCATCGCCTCTGACAAGGTATTCTCTTCTCCTTTTGCAGTCTCCAATAGACTATTCTTGACCTAGGGGATTAAGAGGGTATGAGGTTGCAACTCCTGTGGAAACATCAGCTAATACTGATTATTTGAACTGATTTGGCTTTTAGGCAGGCTATGAAACTAAGGCTGCTTTGGTAGATCACTTTTGTGGGAACTGGATGCAGAGAATACAGCACTGTTGGTTCTCTTGGAATTGTCAACCATAGTTGCAGCCTAGTGGAGTTGCATCATCAAGGTCATATGATGTCGTGGTTCCAATCCTGTTGTTAGGTTATATCCAGAAAGTGTAAAATGGCCACAATTTGGCACCGTATGGTGTTCCACAGGAGTCTGTCCAGTTCTTTAGGTGAGATATAGATATACAGATACAGATATTCATACAGACATAGACACAAACTAACTGCTGGAAGTAATCAACTGCAGTTTTGGACTGAGATGCCTTTAATTTATTGTTTTGTGTTACCTAACTAAAAGGTAACACTTGAATGTTATCTAGATTCAGAAAAGGGTCTGTCTCAAAATTGAATGGGGTTACTCTTTCTCTGAAAGATCAGGTACATACTGTGAAAGTATTCCTGGATTCTTCCCAGGTGGGGAATAATCACATGGATTCTTCCTAGCAGATTACTCCCTGAACTGGCTGGAGAAGTTGCTGCCTGTTTGCTGCTGTTCTGTTCTATTCCGCATAAAAGCTATGTTAAAGTTTAGATGGCTGTCTTAGATAAAGTTGGTGTCCCTTTTGGTCCACAGACTGAGAAGGTGCATGTCCACAAAAGTGTGCCAGTCACCTCTGGGCAATTACTGTGCCCCCAGAAAAGAGTAGAAGCAACCGAAGTATTAATTGAAAAAGTGGTTTGAAGTGCTGGCCATACTCTAAACCAATTCATGCACCTACACTTATAAGAGAAAAAGCAAACTTAAAAGTGTGTCTGCTTGTCTTGTCAATACTTTGCTCACCAGATTTTCTTGGAAATTGTGCCCTGCATTTATCTGATAATGTTCCTGTGCTAATGGGCTTGCTTTACAGGAATTTGTATAGATAAGAAAACTGGTCTGTATACAAGGATAAAGATAAGAATTCGGTGTGACCCCAAGATATAGGGAAATTCTGCACCTCCCCAAATTACAAATGGCTAGAAACAGCTGTTTTCCATCATATGATCTGATTAAGAGAAGCTACTAATGTTACTTTTCTTTGGATGCACAGGCCTGCGATGCATGGAAAAAAGAAGCAGAGGAGGCTAATGATCGTGCTAGTGCGGCAACCATAGAATGTGAACTAGCCCGGGAGCAGAGAGAGGCCTTGGAACTGCAAGTCAAGAAACTCCAGGAGGAAATTGAGAGGATCCACACTGGCCAGGACCCCCAGTTCCTGCGCTCATTCTCTGATTTAGAGAATCTCTCCTTGTCTACCCTCTATAACCTCCAAAAACAGTTGCGTGCCAATCTAGAAAGAGTTGATAAGGTGGGTTTGAGGTGGATGTGTGGAAGCTTTGTGTCACAGTTAACCTGTGATGTTTTTTATAACTTAAATAAACAATGAAGTTTAAACTTGGGGGCCATATTTTTCTAGAAGGAATTAGCAGAAGATTTTTCATCAGGATGCAGGTCTTCTCAGCAGGGGAGGGAGTAGGGGTTCTTCAGTCATGATGAAATACAAGAAAGTTACTGTTCAGATCAAAGTGAGGCCTGCCTTTTACCTTGAAAACAAAGCTCACAGAGGGACCACAAGTAATGATTAAGATCTGTAGAATGCATTATTTGGTTTCTCTCGGCCATTATTTTAAGAGACTAGAGGCAAGGAAAAGGGGATTTAGTCATAGTAGTTTAAAAAGAAAAAAAACTTATCTTCACATTTTTTCTCTGCTTCCAGTTCTTCTATTATCTTTTAGTAATGTGCAGCGTCTAGTTAGTGCAAAGACTGTAGGAAAATCATGAGAAAGGGAATGGACTGACACTCCTTTCATCCAAAACCATACTCATTCAAAAGATACAGTATATGCTTCCTTTCCCCTAGGCTTTTAGTTTAATGTAATTGGAGGTTGAGGTGGACAAGGATAAATTCAGTCATCTTGCCTGTTAGGTAAAAAGAGTCTGTCAGTCTGCTTTTGTGTCTGGCAGTAGTTGGCAACTTATTTTGCGACACGGAGCAGTAACTCAGTCTCCCAGGCTGCTGGTGGCTTTCCAGTGGTGAGATTTAGCCTCAGGGGGCCTTGTACTCCCATTTCTGCTCAGACAGCTGAAAGCTTCCCAAATCAAGCAAAAACTGTATTGTCAAAAACCAGCCATTTTGTCACCATATTTTAGGGGTTACGATAGAGGGCCAAAGTGGAATGCAGGCAATGGGTTGCCACTCCTCATATTCGGTGTGGCCATTTTTCATCCAACAGCTTCACAAACCCATTGGGCAGGAGGAATTTCTATCAGGAGTTAGTACGTCAAGGGAATCCATTTATTTGACGGCTCTGCTGAGCTGCAAAGTAAGGTCTTGGAAGAGGATAGAGAAGAGGAGGAAGGTTATCTGCACCAGTTAGAGGAACACAAGACAGCTACATGAAAAAGTAGGCCAAATGAAAAGGTCCTTCTCCTTTGTATTCCCCCAGCCCCTTGGACCATTTCAGGCTCCTTCAGTAGTTGCCTCCTGAATGTAGAACAGGTGTCCTTGAGCTCCATTCTGTTTTACTGATAATCCCCTTTGGTTCTCCCTTTCCCCCATCCCACTTCTCTTTTCAGGCAGTGTTTCAGATGCAGTCGGTGAAATGCCTCAAGTGCCAGGAAGAGAACCGGGTGGTACTACCGTGCCAACACACTGTGCTGTGTGAAACGTGCGCCGAGGAGGGTGAATGTCCCATCTGCCATCCCAACAGGCCACATGCTCTCCAGTCGTGACTGTACTAGGACATTTGGTTTAGCATATCACATAGAATTTTTTAACTTTTCATAT